CAAATCTCAGTAGCGGTTGAAGGTCTAGGCCAACTCTGAACTACATCAATCTTCTTCATATCCACCTTGATCTCATCACTAGACACCATGTAGCCCAAGAATATCACTAAATCCAACCAAAACTCATGCTTAGAGAACTTAGCACACAACTTTTCTCCCTCAAAATCTGAAGCACAATCCTCAAATATTTCCCATGCTGCTTCCTATTATGGGAATATACAAAGATATCATCGATTGAATAAAATAACAAAGGAATCAAAATAAGGCTAGAACACACTGTTCATCAAATTCATGAAAGTTGCTAGGGTGTTAGTCAAGACAAAAGACATTACCAAAAACTCATAATGCTAATAACGGGTCCTAAAACCATCTTAGGAATGTCCGAAGCCCTAAGCTTCAACTAATGATAATCCGATCTAAAGTCAATCTTGAGAACACACTGACACTCTGAAGCCGATCAAACAAATCATCAATGTATGTTCTTGATGGTAACCTTGTTCAATTGCCTATAATCAATATATATTCTCATAGAACCATCCTTCTTCTTCACAAATAACACTGGTGCACCCTTAGGAACACTCGGCCTGATGAATCCCTTATCTAACAACTCATGTAACCTTCAATTCCTTTAACTCTGCCATGTGATATGCAAGAATAAATATGGGCTAAGTGCTCCGACCAAATCAATACCAAAATTAATATCCCTATTAGGTGGCATGCTCGATAGGTCTACAAGGAACATTTCTAAAACCTCCCCCACTACTGGGCTGAATTAAGAGTAGGAGTATCAGTACTGAATATCCCTCACAAAATCTAGATACATCAAACACCCCTTATCAGCCATCCATTGAGCCTTCAGAACAGAAATCACCCTACCAGGAATATGACCCAAGAACCCCTCCATTCCAACCTTGGAAATATTGGCATAGGCAATGTCATGGTCTTAGCGTGACAATCAACAATAGCACGATACAGAGATAACCAATCCATACCCAAAATCATCTTAAAGTCAATCATATTAAGCAATAATAGATCAACCCTAGTCTCATAACTCCAATGGTAACCACACAACACGATCAACCATAATAGAATCCCCAACAGGTATAGACACATGAATAAGAATATCAAAGGAACCATGAGGCATATCCAAATAAAGAGCAAAGTATGATGACACATAAGAATAAGTGGAACTAGGATCAAATACTACAGAAGCATCTCTGTGGCACATTAAAACAATACACGTGATCAATGCATTTGAAGCAACTTCCTCTGACTTGGCCAGGAATACATAACAACGGACATGTCCTCCACCTAACTGACCTCCCATTTTAGGATGACCTTGAACAGACTGAGCTCTACCCATATATGGTTGTGCAAGTGGTGTAGCTTCTACGTAGGAATAAAGGACCGGGTGCCCTAATATGGTGCATTACTCAGAAGTCAAGGGCAATCCCTCTTGAGATGACTCAAGTCTCCATACTCAAAACAACCCCTGTTCTAGCGAGGCTGTTGAATATGTAACTGACCCTGAGGACCTGATTGCCCACTTGAAGATCCCTTAATAAATAGGGATTGGTATGAACTCTACGTTGGCATTACACTGAAAGATGATTGGGTTGGGCGAGCACTATATGAACTATGGCTGAGTTAAGAACCATAATGAACCTGATGGGCTGACTGAACTGGCCTGAAAAACAACCTCTACTATGATGTCCCTAGCCTCCAGATGAGGCACCACTAAAACTACCTGAACCAAGGCCCACTTGGCATCCTACTCCTCTCTCTCCTGCCTGCGGATATGCTGTAAGTGCATGGAAATCTCCACAACCTGATGAAAGGTGCTATCAGTCTTGGCCTCTCGGGCCATCCTATAACAGATACCAAAATTGAGGCCCTCAATGAACCTCCTAACCCTCTCCCTCTAAGTAGGGATCAAGAGTACAACATGACGTGCCAGCTCTATAAACCTTTTCTTATACTAGGGCTGGGCATATATCGGGTAAAATCGATAACCCAAACCGTTAATTGTTTATTAGGTTATCGGTATCGGATTATTGAATTAATGGTTCGGTAACAGTTTAGAAATTTTCACTATTGGGTTATCGGTTCGGGCCTCGGTTTGCCAATTTTGTTAATGGGTTAACCGATAACCCAGTAAGAATTAATAAAATTATGACTTTACCCTTAAGTATATACATAGTTAGGGCTTCAGTTCATTCTCTCCTATTCTTTCTCAGCCGCACTCTTTAGTTGCTTCATCTTCATTCTTCATAGACCTTACTAGTTACTCCTAGAGTAAGTCTTTAGTCTTATACATTAGGCTTTTAATTTCTATAACAAAATTCATCTTCATATAGGGATTGCTCTATGGTTTCTTATTTCAGGTTAGGCATTTGAGAAACAACATCTATATTATATTGGACTGTTTGAGGGCTTCAATGCTTATGAAAGTGCAGATATTGTGTGAAATAAAAATTCAAAAATCAACTATTATTGTTATCATATCGAAGGAGGCAGCTAATGCCTTGGAATATTTTGTGAGAATTCCTGCAGTTTGATAAGTATTTATCCACTGATTTTTTGGTGAAGCCAATAAGGATTGAGTAGTTGTTGTTTTGTTAACTTGAATTTATACTGTTAGTACTATATGTTTGGACTACTTAATTTTAAGGTGAAATTTCTACTACTTTATATTATTATTAATGTATCTGGGCAACTTGTTGAAGTATTAGTAGTACTCCAGTTGTGGCCACTAGACATAACGCTGAAATGGGTAGTATACTATATGTGAATTCTTCTCTCTTTTACTTAACTCTAGTGAATTGTCTTCTCTTTTTTGCTTAAATCTAGATTGAGTTATCTTATCGGGTAAACTGATAACCGAACCGATAATGATCGATAACCGATTAACCGATACCCGATATCTTATCGGTTCGATTATCGGTTTATTAAATTTATAAACCGATAACCGATATGCTAAACTGATAATATTCATAACCGAACCGAACCGACCGATGCCCACCCCTATCTTATACTGCTTCACAGTCATACCCTCCTAGCATAGATGCTCAAACTCGCTGCACAACTCATCTCAGCGAGCCCGTGGAATAAACTTCTCCAAGAATAGAACATAGAATTGAGACCATATGAGTGGTGTTGCACCAATTGGTTTACTCAACTTATAAGCCTGTCACCACCTGTAGGATGACCCTGTTAGCTAAAAAGTGACGAAGTCAACCTCATTTGTGTCCACCAAACCCAAACTATGTAGGTGATACTGATCAAGAAAACTCTATGCATCCTCAGTAGGATGATCACTAAAGTGAGGACGAAGAAGTCTCTAAAATCTATCCAGCCTCTTCTACTCCTCAATTGTCAAAACTGGCATAATCTCAAGCTGGACTGCAGCAAGTGGCTACAGCAGCAGAACCCCCTGTATCTGATGACCACGATCTAGCTGCTTTAGTATACATGCAAGGGAATCTAGGATCCTCCTCTAACCTGTGAGGTAATTGTTGCAACTTGAATCACATCCGCCTAAGACAAACTCGTATACATGCTCAAAATCTGAGCCAAAGCCTCTTGAAGTCCAGGTGTTGCAGTAGGTCCCTCTTAAGCTTGAGCTGGTCCCGCCAGCTCAACATAATCTAGAACCTTCTCATCAATGTGAGCTACTGGTGTCTCCATAGTGGCTTCTCTAGTGGGGACTCCAATCGCCGCTCGTGCTCCACCCCTACCTCTGCCCCAGGCCCGACCTCTCGTGCTCCACCCCTACCTCTGCCTCGGGCCCGACCACATCCTACTGCTCTAAAAGAATGTGTCCTCACCATCACTGAGAGAATAGAAGAACAAAGATTTAAATCCAACCAATAGAGAATGAAAGAAAGAGAAGATTTTCTGACAGTCTGGTAGCCTCACGAAGATAAGTAGAGACGCCTTCATACCGATCCTCAAAACTCTACTAAGCCTGCCCATGACCCGTAAAACATATGAACTAGGGCACTAATAACAAGCTGTCATAATTCAAAACCCCCACTAATCGTGATGGTGCCTAAACCACTTGCTAGGCAAGCCAATCATAAAATAATAACGGGAAAAAAAACAATAATATAAAATAAAGGAGTCTAAAAGTCGAATAACATACATAAATAATAACAAATACAGTAATCTCCCCAAAATTAGTAACACTAAGTCATGAGCTCTAACATATGACTACATACAATACACTGTCTGAATCAAATGCAATAGTAAAATGATAGAAAAGGAGCATGGAAGATTTTATGGTTCTAATTATGGGTGGCAAAATGGTTAAAAGAAAACAGTTAACCACTCATATAATTTATTCAAAAATGGGTTGTACAATAAATTTTTTAAAAATGGGTCAAATATAGATAAGAATCATATTATTTATTTAGAAAATGGATAATCAATGAGTCTAACTTTTACATTTATAAAACCTGTAATTGAGGATTCTTCAAGTTAGAAGGACTAAGAGCCCGTCTGGACATAAAAAAAATTATTTTTTCCAAACTGAGCACATAGGGTCGGTTGTAGTCATATTACATTCTCTACTTAATTGTGCAAATCAGGAAGAAATAAGAATCCATTTGAACCTTTTTGCAATTGGCAAACTGCAGGGGAGTACAAAATTCCAAGCGTATTTCCCTTCCAAGCCGTCAGATTCTTTCTGGCACCTATCCTGACCGTCAATTCGGCGCTCTCCTCTTTTCCTGGTAATGATCATCGATTCCCTCGTTTTTTCCATTTCACCCCGGAATTCAAATATATATTGAATATAGTTTATACTGCTTTCCCACTCTCAGGTTTATAGCAAAATTCCTCACTCGCGTCTATCTATAGCCACGTCACAGGTGAGTAGATTACGACGCCGTTTTGTGTATCTATTTTCCGATAATACCCTTCACAGTTGTTTCTCTGCGCGTGGCAAAAAGTAAGCCCTGAGCGTATTAAAGGAGCCCTTTGGGTATTTTCTCAACTAAGAGTTTTTTTTGCTTTGATTCTCCCTCTAGAAAGAAAACCCTCGGCGGAAGAACAGTAGTAGAAGCGTGATCATCATGTCGGCTAGCGGCGGCGGTAGTGGTGGCGCAGGAGAGGAAGAGAAGAAGCCTAACGATCAGGCGGTTCATATCAATCTGAAGGTTAAGGGTCAGGTATATTCATTATCGACGTTTTAATTGTTTAACATGTATTTTTATCTCTTTACTTCCATCTGTGTTGATTTTCATGTACATATGCTCGCATACAGCTGTGATTTCGTTCTCAGGATAGTTCTTGTGATTATTTTTGTTTTCGGCAATGATGAAAAAACTCGTGTAGTCAAGCAGTTTTGTACTGATAAAAGATGCAGTTCTATTAATCCATGATTCCTTTGAATATGCATGTGGTTCGATGATACATAATTATGAAGTTAATCGGGCTGATGGATTTCATGTTTCTGCACGCACTGGTGGGGGTGTTGTGCACTGTAAACTGTGATTTACCTTACGAGTGTACGTACGGTGTTTTGGGTAGATTTGTTATACAGAGAAACCAACATCGAGCCATATCTTGCTGTATTTTTTTTAAAATTTAAAACCAAAACAACGAATTACCATGTAAAGCTGAGGTTTGGTTTGGAAGAAGGTCTGGGCAGTTTGAGCAGTTAACAGACCAATTTTTTTGAATATGACTTAATAAAGCTCTTACTATAATATTTCATACCTGGTGCAGATCAACCTTTTTTGTGTGAAGGTAGTGTCCGGGTTAGTTTGCGTCCACCTCGAGTATTCTATCGGGTACCTGCTGCTTCTCACCAATATAGGTACCGGCAACTTTACTCACCAAGGCTTAAAAGATGAGAAGATATCATTTGGTTTTTTTTTTCCTCCGTTGGGGTATAAACTTGAAACCTTATGGTTCTCCTCCCACTTTATTGACCAATAAGCCACACTCTTAGGTGTTAGTGTAGATCACAACTTACTGTACATAAATGGAACAATGCAGTTTGGATCTCTTCTTGCCCCCTATACCATTGTTTGTCCCGCTTTGGTAATGTTTGTCATGTATATAAGCAAGACATGGAATGAATAATGAGTGGGATGGAAGTAATCCAAATGCCAACTTAGCTGGCTTAGTGACCCTCTTCTTTTTCTTTTTATTGTGGTATGTTATGAATCTGTGTGGTTAACATTGGGCAGTTACATAAAACCTAAATGAAACCCTAATAATGATTATTTTTACAAGTTGAAAACTGTAAGCTCCCAACTTATAAAAGAAACATGTTTCTGTTCAGTTTAATTTGTCGATTCTATAGTTTTTCTGCTCACCACTAAATTTTCTTCCCTCACCTTCTTTTTTGTTCTTCCTTTTGGGTCTCATTCTGTTCCATTTCATGCTCATAAAATACAAGTTCCAGTCAATTCTCAAATATTCTTTTATCTGTTCTGTTTATATCTGCTCTGTTCAATATAGATGCTAAGCTGCATTCTTGAGTAATATAAAGGTTTTATTGCCCAGGTTAGCTCTACCTTTCTTTGATTTCCATGTAAGAAATGATCCGACTCTAAGTCTGTCCGGAATCTGGATAATAAGAATTTTCCCTTGGACTTGGAAGGGTTCTTGGTATTAATTGGACATGTCAATAGAATGCTGGAGGATAGAAGTATTGTATGCTAGGTGTGGGAGTGCTGGGCTTGGGTGTGACCACGAGGAAGACAATATCTTTAGCTGTAGAGATAGGACTTGGAAGAGGGCACTCAGTGTGGGGGCAGACATATCTTTTGACGCAGTCTATTTTACAGGAATGGTATTTGATTTTGTTGTTTGCCTTCTACTGCTAACGCTGTTTAGAAAACCTCAGCGATGAGTCAATCCCTCCATGGATGAAAACATGCATTCTACGCTCAAACCATAATTAAGGGAAAGTAGATTCACTTAACACAACCACATGTATTAGTTAATACTTACCATAAAACCAAGAAGAAAAATAAAAAGAAATCCTCCATGTATTAGTATTTTGTTGCAAACTTCAAAGTAATCTTGTGTTATCCTCATGATGATTGTCAATGGTGTAGGGAATATTTTTTTGGAGCATTGCGCATTCAATTTTTTTTTCCCAATTCGGATTATGTAGCCTTCTCTTTTTCTAGATTGTGCTGGATAAATTGCTTAAACTCTTTCTGATGCTGTACTCTGTGGTTGTTAATATTGTGGTAATGGTAATAGTCAACACATTTACTCTTGAGGGAAATAAGTGTAATCATTGTTGTGCTTGTCTATATTAACCTGGCCTCCATCCCAGGTCAGGATCATTGATTGCTTGAATGTTACCTTGTTCGAATGTGGCAGATAATATAGTTTAGTTGGATGTGTTTCATAGTAGCTAGAGAGGCCTCTCTGCCTCAGACCTCAGTGGTGCCTATATCATCTTTGCTTTAGTGCTTAGTTTACAGAATTTTGCTTCCATGTTTATATAATTACGGAGCTAGATTTTTTCCATACTAACCAGGAGTATATAGCACGGAATGTAGACTCCGAAGCAGCAAACTGCACTTGACCTATTTCTCTCCCTTTCTTTTTTCCTCTCATTGTTAAATAACGTGGTTGTGAGTTGTTCAGTTGTAATGTTATGTGGCCCCAATGTGTACTTTTTGAAACATTTGCTTCTTAGTATTACGTTGTTTGGCATTCTTTTGCCATAGTTTGTGCGCTCCCTCAACCTAAAAACAAGGAAGAGAGTTTGAGAAGATGGAATTGAGGAGTCCTTTCCATATTGAATTGTGTTTTTTTTTCATTGGTAATCTCCATCAATTCTTGCATGCAGGATGGAAATGAAGTGTTTTTCAGGATCAAGCGTAACACACAGTTGCGCAAGCTCATGAATGCTTACTGTGACCGTCAGTCGGTTGACATGAACTCAATTGCATTCTTATTTGATGGTCGCAGGCTTAAGGGAGAGCAAACTCCTGATGAGGTATTGAAACACTTCACACAACTTGTCTTGTTTAACCAACTAATATTTATCTCACATTCTTTTCTACAATTGTTGAAATAGCTGGAGATGGAGGAGGGTGATGAAATCGATGCAATGCTACATCAAACTGGAGGCAATGATGCATGATGCTGCTGCGCTTTTGTTCCTAATTGTTAACTTGGTGGTTATATGGTTGTAGTTGGTTGTTAGGGTGAACGCTTTGGAGTGTTGGTTATTACTCTCCCATCTGCCTAAATGGGGGAGTGTATGGATGTTAGTAGTTTTAGTTTTCAGTACTAGACGATAGCTTCCAAATAGTTTTCACTTTCCATCTGCAATTATCAGAGTTTACTCTGAATATGTGTCTTGTATCTCACTTTGCCTAATTATATTTCAGACCTGTCGTAATGATGAAACATCAACATCTTACAAATGCTGAAACACATCCTGACCGAGATACCACTAGTTCCACGGCTGGTTGCTTGGATTTGGTGGTCTTGGAAAGCCAAGACAAACAGAAATAGACTATTGGAGCAGTAGCCTACCCCTACCCTCATCAAAGTAGAACGAAACCAAAATGTAGTTCTTTTGGACAAGTAGTACTTTAATAGGTGTAAATAAAAAAGATGATATTTTTATATATAGCGTCCAAATAGCGGGTGCTATACATTAACGTTAACTGTGCCATTAATGTATAGTGCCCAGTATTTGGGAGCTATACATAAAAAGCTGACACTAACAGGTATAACGTCCAAATACTGGATGCTATACATAAAATTTTATGTATAACGTCTAGTATTTGGGCGCTATATGCCTTTTTTCTGGCCCCATCAATAATTCCTGACTTCAATAATTTAAAAACGTAGTGCCACTTTTTGGGCGCTATATATATATATATATATATATATAAAAAAGTTCCAGCTAGCCATTTTCTATATAAAGAGGTTAGGATTGTATAGAAATTTATTCAAAATGTGTATAGTGTAGAAATTTTCCGGCTAGCCATTTCCATACTCTTGTTGAAATGTTTATTGTTAAATTCTCCAGCATTTTTTTATTATGTCTGAAGAGCGTAGAATAAGAGTTTCATTATATTGGGGGGTGAGATTGTGATGGAGAATAACTTCGTGGGCTACAGTTTACCTGCTCAGTGTCATGTTAAATTGTCACTTATAATGGAGTACGATAAATTGATATCGTTTTTATGCAAAAAAATGAGTGTGAGGAAACGTTCAGTGATACTTAAAGTAACCGGAAGATATCTGTATTCCGTCATTCCGCAAGGGGTTACTTTTTACTCGGAGTTTAACATCGACGATGATGAAACTTTGAGTGATTTTCTGAGGACTCCAGATGAATGCCGGGAATTTCTTGTAATCACAATGTTGGAGATGTACGTGAAGGTCGAAGACGTTCCAAAAAATGAGGTTGTGCGTAGTAGAGATAACCCCCAGTCATCGGGTGGTTATTCTGGAGCAGTTTTTACCGGACATGTTCCGGATGAAAGAGTTTTCCTTGATTTAAACTTATCACCGCCGACGAATGAGCAGCGAGAAAATAATTTATACCCTGCTTTCCATAATTCACAAGACGAGTGGTAAACTTCAATTTTCATTTGTGTTAATTATGTATATTTTTGGTGTATTGAATTTGTATTAACGCTCATATATTTAATATGGGGTACCGGCCGGATATGAATTTTACAAGTGGCCCATCCGGTAGTCATCACCTAATTGAAAACGTCCATCATGGAATTTCATCACATTACGACTTGTAAGTGAAGTGATATAGCTATATGGAAAGCATTTATTAATTCAGTAGCTTATATTTTTGTTGGTTGTGCAGTGAAAACGAGCAAGTTGAACCACCCGTACTCACTCAATTGCCCGAAAATGACGTATTACATCGGGATCTGGCAGATGCACAGAGTGAGGAACAGAACAGTGATTACGATAATAATGCTGATGAATCCAGAGACGAGAATCCCTTTCCTCGTGAGGATGGTGATGCGCAGGATAAGGAGGAAGGACCTGATTTGAAGAGAGACCCCTTAGACGAAGAGTGTACGAGTCCGAAGTGCCATTTCATTCAAGGGAGATTCCTTACATTGATAACTTGCCAACCGTGCCGGATGTGGAAGCTCTCACAAGGGATTTTGATGAAATCCGGACAACAATGTGGGATGAGTCTAGACCAACGGTGCTTGCAAATGGGATGCTTTTTCTTGATAAAGCGCGCGTAAGCAGAGCTTGTAAAATGCACAACGTAAAAGAGTGACGTGAGATGCAGGTATGAGAGTCAAGTCCGATGGTATACAAGGCTGTTTGCTGCATGTGGTTTTGGCCATGTAATTGGATGTTGCGTGCGACCAAGAAGAAGACAGGTATGTGGAAAGTGGGTAAATA